CTGTCTGTCTGTCTGTCTGTCTGTCTATCTGTCTGTCTGTCTGTCTGTCTGTCTAACATATATATATAATGCAAAATATATTACAATAAATAATATGAATATTAAAATATAGAACACATGCACACACACACACACACACGTATATATATACTGTATATATATATATATAAATAATGAATTGAAAATATACATTTTTGTTCAATAAATAATATAAATATATATATAAAATCAAATATTATCTATCTATCTATATTTCATGAAATAGCATTTGAAAACCAATTATGTACAATTATAAATGTTCCTTTTTGATAACTCCACAGATGTATTTTTTCAGTGGGTAAAACACTGAATGTGCCTGTGTGGTTCTCGGCCTGGAGTCAGTTGGGAAGCAGCCAAGGAAGTGCCTTAGGATACTGACTCAGGCATTGTGAATCTCAGAGCACCAGGAGAAACATTCAGCACGGATATATCCAATTTCATTCTCCACACTGCACTGTGCGCTGTGCACCTATGAAAAGATAATCATGATTTCTTATTGCGACTGCAATTACTAACTTGCATTAGGACTTTATAATGCTTCTCTGAGGGAAATGTTAATAAAGTCTTGGAACACACATAGTGAATATAACTGACAGTCATTAATCTCTCTCTGTGGGCATTTGGTAATTAGTTTGCTGATTCTATCAATATAATAACACAAATATGAACAATAAAAACCACAGGCTAGCATAATTGTATACTAAATTATGTTAATCGCTTAGACTAACTAAAGCATCAGCCATTTTGAAGGCCTCGCACACTCTCTGCACCCACTGCGCTTCTCATTGGGTCACACAAAGACCCTATGTGCTCAGCAACAACTTGTCACCTTTCTGCACGTCATTCTGTATTAGTGTATCTGCATCGCTTGAGTGGAGCAAAATGAATGGGACCATTCTTCCTGTTCCCCCAGCATCCCTGACAAGACATTCCTATGAGAGGTCACACATGCAGTTGTGTGGTCAACGTGTAGGGGGCGTCAAGTAGTGATCGCTCAAACAGGACAAAGACATTCCTAAATAATTTAGAAAGAATGGTCAGATGGTAGCAACCTGTTCGACATTATGATTTCTGTTTGTGTGCTATGATGATAATCCCTGCAAACTTCTTTCGTTTTTTTTTCTCCCTGAAATTTAGCAGTTGTGTTAATTCTCAAGAACATAATGTTGTTTGTTAATGGAGTTTTTCACAAAATAGAGTATGGAATCTAGCGCACTCATTTTAAAGAGATTAACCTCCTCCCATGTGTTCAATGAGCACATCCCATTTTGGATTGTATGTGCTCTTTATTTCTCTTGGAATAAAACATCTGTCCTCAGACAATCTGTGCTGCAGTGGTAGTAGCTTTACTAAAATCTGAAGCGTAGTAATTTTGTACCAAGTAATTTTGACCAAAATGAAGTCATTTTACAGAGGAACTGCAAGCCAGTTGTCATGGTAACACCCTAAATATTATTTTAACACGGAATTCTGTTTTCTTGATGTGATAATTTTTTTGGAACAGTTATGAGGCATGAGTAAACATGTACTGATATAAGGAACTATACACAAAATATTGCACAAAAGTTTGGACAAAACCACTTATTCCTTATTATTATTCATTTCTACACTTTATAGTTACATTTAAGCATGCACCTTGTATCTTTACATAACACCTATGAAAGGTTGCTATTTCAAGTTACCAGAGCCTTAACTATAAACAATCGCTAGCGTATTGTCGTAAAAATGAATATCTAATTATTTTCAACCAAATATTTTTGTCGGTTTCAGTGCAATAGTCATCATAAAAGTTGGTGAATGAAATTATAGACATAAACTGGCAGTTTGTGTAAAACATAATTTGAAATGGCTTTATTTTGGGTTTATATTCAGACAACTTATGGTATGTGATGGTATAGATTTTAGTTGTGCAGCTTTTTTTTTATTGTCTGAAAAAAAAATCACAATAGCCAGTGTTAGGAAGGTTACTTTGGAAATGTAATAGATTACAGATTACAAGTTACCCTATTTAAAATGTAATAAGTAGTGTATCTATTTCAATGACTTTATTAAAGTAATGCAACTGATTACATCTGATTACTTTTCTAAATTTCTAATGAAAGTTTTCCAACATTTAGACCAGACAGGGTTAACCTTAGTACATCCCTCATTACTGTCAAGACATTCAAAATCCTTCATCACTTAAATTAAGATGATAATGATTTAATTTGAAAGCACAGCCACCACAAAATCAGACTGATTTTGAGATCATTCTGAGGTTATAGTTTAATAGTTATGATACTGTTTTTGAAATCAAATCTTTGCATAGCTATGACAAGATACACTAGCATCTAACAATGCCTTGGAAAAAAAACAGTTAATCTTAAAAAATAAATCATATACATAAACCCAAATAGGTCCTAAACTCCTGAAACATTGGTGTCTCATATTTTAAAGCAGTCAATGCAATTTGGGAAAGAAATCTATTTAATATATATGCTCAACGATAACCCCTTTGTAATCGTTAACATTTTTACAAGTAAGTGTAATTGAATTACAATTTTTTTTCCCCAGTAGCTTTAACAGATTACAGTTACATTTATTTTGTAATTAAATGATGTAATTCTGTTACTTCTCAACACTGCAAATAGCAAAGATAATTTAAAAATGCTCACAGTACAACAGGTTAAACTGGAGAGGGTTTCAAATGAGGTAAAACACGAACTGTTCTTACTAGTAATCAAAGTGTTAATCATTATGCTTAGGATAAAACATGTCACCAATGCTACTAACACAATACCCAGATTTAGTAGCCTAAAGCACATGTTGGACAGGTCAACCCAAGACAACAGAATACCAGTCGCGTGATAACCGTGTACCACATAAATTGTGCTGTTGCTACGGCAACCCTGTCAGTAGGGGGCCCATTCCCTCAGATACAAATAAGCCCCCAAATCACGCTCCCCTCTGCGCTCAGCTATCGCGAGATTCCTAAAAGCTAAGCGGCGCAACGGCTTGCAGTGACCTCATCAGCAGCTGCAGCGCGAGGCGGAGCTGCAACTTTTGTATGAACTTCGAAGTTGAATAATTGTGAACGAGACGCTGGGGCCAACGGTAGTGTTGCTGGAGTAGATACAACAATACACTGAAAAATCTCTCGCGACACACGGGAAAACAGCAGGAATAACGGCCGCACGCAGACTGCACTCCGCTGGCGAATATTACGAGGCGGAGAGACGTTTGTGTCGGACTTTTATCGCAAGATTTTGTGGGAGAAGGACCGCACGAGAGCAGCGAGAGGCGGAGAGGGAAGAAGGTGAGTTCGTAAGATGTCTGTGATTTAACTGTTCATGCCAACTCCGAACCGTGCTTATATATCTGTAAAGGGGTCCACGGATGTGTTGTTTCGAAGAAAGCGTGTCTTTGTACACGCTAATTTTAGCTCGTTTTGTCTCTCCAGCGAGTTGTGACGGTTAACGAGTGATCTCGGCTCACCTGATTATCCGAGGTTATATCTGTAAAGGGGTCCACGGATGTGTTGTTTCGAAGAAAGCGTGTCTTTGTACACGCTAAAATGCTCGTTTTGTCTCTCCAGCGAGTTGTGACGGTTAACGAGTGATCTCGGCTCACCTGATTATCCGAGGAAAACCAGATTCGATCAGAAAGTTGCAGTGAAAACGGTCTTGTTTTTATAACCGATAGCAGGCAGATTGTAAATCTAAACCGTGGTCCTATGTGTCGTGTTTATTCGGTCTCAATCTGATAAACAAGACAGCGCAAGGTGAAAATGGTGCGGTTATAGTTGAAGAGTTTTGGTCTTAACTCCAGATGTGGGAAGAACACCGAAACACAGTCGATTACAGCTGACAGCCGAGCAACTTCATCAACGTGGATTGTGTATGTCACATGCACATTTAATCATTGCATCAGTCCAGAAGAGAATTTAATAATATGGATAGTAGCAACTTATGAAAAGACATCAATCTGACTCGTGTGTTTTGCATTATTAAGCCAGATGTTGCTTGGTAAATGTTAACTGATAAATAATTCAGAAATAATTAAATTCTTGTCTTTTCAGTTCTTATAAAAAGTGAAATTTTAAAGTGTGATTTACAGACCTTGAAAAGTCATGGAAATAATGTAATGATTTTTTCCCCTAGCCATACATTTCTATATGTAGTTGATGCTTTTTGAGTGCAATCTCTATAGAATTCATAAAAAAAAAAAAATTGATCACAAATGATCTGAGAAGTTTTGCACATGAATTGATCTAAAAGTATCTATCTATCTATTTATCTATCTACAATATTTGAGAACAATGGCTGTGTTTCAAAAACTTGTGAGCTGCCAACCAAGCAGCATTTTTGCCCATCACAGACTCATTCCGGACGCTAGTATCTATGGACTCTGCTGCATTAGCTGAGAATCAGATCAGGTGTCCAACTGGAGGAGTCATTGGGCTGTAGATCACATTGCATTTATTATGCATAACATTTTGTCATGTTGAAATTGTGAGGTCTGTGTTGTAGGTTGACTAATGGCCCTTCGCTCAGTTTTCCCCCTGTAAGGGCTTTGCTGATTTGTCATTTGCATGTCTTTTCTTTGTTGTGTGGGTGGTGTGTGCTCACTGTGTATTGGCCAGGCTCTAAATGCAGTTTGTGTGGGGGTGGATTTGAAGAGCAGGTTCCTGATTGAAGTGCTTTCTGGCATTCCCTTTTTTAACTTTAGATGTATGGAAGATGCAGACCGTCACAAGATCTTAAAAATGACAGAGGTAGAACTTTGCGTTGGCATCATCATTTCCTTGAGATGTTGATGTTGATGTTTCAGTGTCCTTTGACAGGACTGCCACTATTTTTGTTTAGTCTTGGTGTGGCTGACTAAAAGTAGACAATCTGACCACTTTTAGACTTTTTTTTCTCAGTTGACCACATTCAGACTTTCACTTTGATGTTGTTAAATCCACCAGTGGAACAGCATGGATCCCATTTTCATTTTGTTATATAGACATCGCCTGTTACATGTCGTCTTTTTTTTTTTCGACGTAAACAATGTTTTATTAATAACTTGATTTTGATAAAGTCAGTAGCAAGCAGATATCATTCCTACTGTGCGAAACGTACTTAGATTGAATGTTTTCTTTCCCCAGCCTCTATCTAAGAATGCCAAGGATGCAGTTATCTGCAGGCAGTGTCGCATTTCCAATATTAAGTAGCCTATTGAAAGGGAGTGTGTAGGTGGACACGCACATGTTGTGAAACACGTAGAAAAGGAAATGTGTGAGGGGAAAAAGACGCCTGGGTGGATGATTGGCAGCAGAGGGATTATCAAGAGTTTTTCACATGTAGAGTGGCTCCAGATTCTATAGATACTGCTGGATTAAGGTTGGGCAAATAAGTTTTAATCATTGCCTCAGGCTTAACAAATTATGTGCGAGGTTGAGTGCTTAACAGCCTCTCCTGTTGTTCTTCTATATATGCTGTTGCTATGGAAGTTTGGTTTATGTAAAATCATGTCAGTTGTTCAGTTATGCAAGTATATTTTTCAAGATTTGGCTGCAGACAAAATCCAAATCTAATTCTGTAACAGGTCTGCATCAGATGTGATCCAACCATCAGACAGTATCTAATGGTCCTACTTTTTAATTTTTGAGACTTGATTTGCACTGGAATATATGATGCAGTGCCTCATCTTTGGGTTTGTTCAGGCCTACTTATAAGCAATTTTATATCACACATATCCAAATGCACATTGCTTTGGGATTTGGGTTAGTTACCCCCAAAATCCAAAAATCTTTAATAATTTTCTCAACCTCATGTTGCATGTTGTTCCAAACCCATAAGACTTTCTTGAATTTTCGGAACACACATAAACAAGATAAACATTCTTTCATCATTTTATGCCATCCATTGAAAATCTAAACAAAATTCGCATGTTTGCTTTTTTGTGATGAACCGATTTAATTTAGGCTCTTATTCACGCATTCATTGATTATTGCACATGCACACTACTCTATTCATAGGGATTATTTTTATAATGAATTTCTGTACTTTTTGATGGGTGAAAGTTTTGGTTTGCATGGATTTTCAATAGATGGACAAAAGTGATTAGAGAATATTACAACAATTTTTAATTTGTCTTCTGAAGATGAACAAAAGTTTTATGGGTTTAGAGTGAGTAAATGAAGATAGAATTCTCTCTTTTGGGTGAAAAATCCCTTTAAGAGAGTCAGTGCAAACGAAATCCAAATAGGCTAAGTGCCCACAGGTGACTATGACATAAGCGTTGTCACAAACAGGAAAAGGAAAGGACCTTTTCCCACCCAAATTGCTATATTTAGTTCATAAAGTTGCATAGATTATTTTTTTTATTTTTTAATCAGCCACTGGTGGTTTCAACTAGTACTAAATTCCAGCATATTGTTCTGCCACATCTTCCTAGAAGCAGCAGCTGTTGATGCCGATCTGATGAATGGCAAAGAAACAGTTGAAGGTTCAGAATGTATCCGCATTATCGCTGATATTCCCACCAACTGTCTCGCCATCTGCCTAACAGCGCTTGTTGTGTTCCGTGCAGGAGAGCAGAGATTTTCAGCCTCTTGCACTAGAGAGGATGGGTGTTAACATGGCACCCAAATGCTGAAATTAGTATTGAAGGCGCCCATCTTACTTTTGGACTGAATAATTACAGTCCTGTCTCCTCTACCACTTTGGGCTCCATCTTAATGCAGACTGTAGCCTCAGATTTATGCAGCCATTAGTCATGTAGACAGTCTGTTGAAAATTGAAGGTGAGGAATTTGAGATGCAGGATTCTTACTATGTTTTTGATTCATGCAGTTTATTCAAGATTCACAATATTGAACCTTTCTGAAGTAATGTTGTTTTTTTTCCTATCAAAAAGTAAACCTAATGCCTTTTTTAGACCGAAACCTAGTTAATTCAGGATTGCTATGGATGTGTTATCAGTGGTGATTCACCTTCCTATGAAATGGAAGATTTTTAGGGACTGACACAATGTCTCAAGCAAACATCTTAAGGAGAGTCACTTATCCACTTTCATGATGAAATCACTCCGTGCTGAAATTAGTATTGAAGGCGCCCATCTTACTTTTGGACTGAATAATTACAGTCCTGTCTCCTCTACCACTTTGGGCTCCATCTTAATGCAGACTGTAGCCTCAGATTTATGCAGCCATTAGTCATGTAGACAGTCTGTTGAAAATTGAAGGTGAGGAATTTGAGATGCAGGATTCTTACTATGTTTTTGATTCATGCAGTTTATTCAAGATTCACAATATTGAACCTTTCTGAAGTAATGTTGTTTTTTTTCCTATCAAAAAGTAAACCTAATGCCTTTTTTAGACCGAAACCTAGTTAATTCAGGATTGCTATGGATGTGTTATCAGTGGTGATTCACCTTCCTATGAAATGGAAGATTTTTAGGGACTGACACAATGTCTCAAGCAAACATCTTGAGACAAGGAGAGTCACTTATCCACTTTCATGATGAAATCACTCCATTTAATAAATGCGAGCTTGTCAATGTCATATTCTCCAAGCCTTTCAAGATTTCTTTTGATCCATTTTAAACCTAATCTTATTTTGAACACTGTGTCTTTTGGAACACATTATTTGTATCGCATGTTCACTTCCCTTAGTCATAATGTGGTTTCCTAGTAACAGCTTTGCGGTTTGGTTTATTGGTCAGTTAGTTCAACTGCTCTTTTTGGGAATCTGTTGTAATAGAGTGGAATGTGTCAGGCAGGTCTTCCTATGTATTGCATTTGTTTCTGTGCGGCCTACATCCACACTGTGGTTGGTAGTGGTTACAGTGTTTTACAAAACATTAAGTCACCATGTTCTCTAATGACATAATCACCGGCTTCAGACTAACTGCTAACATACTAGTATTCTGGTACAAATGGATAGGTTATAAGCCTTGACATTCATTGATGAGGATGTGATGGCTGTGTGTAGTAGGGGTGAAACGATTCACTTGTTTTCGCGATGCATCGATTACAAACCCTGACGATGCATATGCATCGATCTTGAAACATGGATTTTTGAATCATGAATTGTTGATTTCGGGCAGTAATCGATTTAAAACACTAAGAATCGAATTAATCGTGATTTCTATAGCGATTCAGTGCTTTAAGATACACATTAAATTACTACAAGCACGAATTAATGGAGACCTTACCAAAGCATTGTTTGTGCCCTCACATCTCTCCTTCACGCAAACGTATTCGTAACGGATGGAGCCGAATCAATGTAAGTGTCTAAATGCATATGCACAGTTCCATTGAATGATAAAT